TGATAAATTATTTAACTAATTTTCTTTTTAATAATGTTATTTGCCTTTTTGATTGATATTAATAACGGTACTGCATTTAAAGATTTGCAGTCGATCAGTTTGGTATGATCATAAATGTCCGTCAGATAGCCTCTTTTGTTGTCATTTAATCGCAAATTGGATTAGATGACACAATTGCCCTATATAGACACTTACTAAAGAGGAAATCCTGGATAAACATAGGTCTATTCTATGTTCCTTTTGGAATTTCAACAAAGATGAAGATCTGGATTTTTTATCACCGTATTGGATATCTAAACTACATAAGTGTCCTTACAAACAAAGGTATATTGCTGGATCTTCCAGTGCTCCATGAAACCTCCTTCTAAATTATTTACATCAGTTTTATCAGCAATCAAAGCCGGGCTTCAAAGTTATTGTGATTCTACCTTTTTCTAGAGGTGGCGTGAATCAGATGTGGATACTAAAAAATTCCAAAGATCTTTTAGGGTACATACAATCTAAGACTGTTTCATCTTGCAAAAGTATCAAAACATCTGACTTTTCTACACTTTGCACATGTATTCCCCATCCAAACTAAAAGACAAATTGAAAGAGTTGGTATTGCTTTATTTCATAAAAAAAAGAATAACCAACGTAGATATAAGTATCATTGTCCTAGGGAGGGATAAATCCTACTTTCTAAAAAATCACTCCGATTCAAACAAAGAATTCTCTATAACTAACATTATCAAGATGCTTAATTGATTGACAACATATTTGTTACGTTTGGAAGAATCGTTGTTCAACATACAATCGGTATGTTCTGTATTGATTTTTGGCATATGCTTTTTTTAAATATTATTCATTAGAATATTTCCCCAAATGTACATTATTTGGAAGATAAACAAAAATCCTAAAGTTAACTTATTGCCTGAAATGATGTTTGGCAATAGGTTGAATAATCATCATCAGATTTCAGGAAATAAGCTTAATGCCTGAAAATGTCAGGCAATAACTTAATGCCTAGGCGTTAGCTGATTACCAAGGATTTAAGCTTAATGCCTAATTTCACTTATTGCCGCTAACATATATATCAGTCTGAGTACTGTTTAACTATAATTTAAATTTTATATTTATATTTGGTACATGTAGTCAATTTAAGCTATGGACCCACTCCACCAATCAGTCTAAATTTTACAACCATGTATATATTAAAGCAAATAATAGTCAAACCAAATCTTTTAAAAACATATAAAATGTGATCCAACGTTTTTAGTAAATCATGACGTTATATTAGACTTCTCTTTTTCAAAATGTCTGACAATTTCAAAATGGCCACCAAAAAGTAAAAATGAACAAAACTGAGTCAAGGCTTTGCTGATATTTATTACTTCTATCGAATTTCACTTTGTAGTTCATACAATATTCAAGGGATTGCGTTTCCATGAAATATGGATGCTGCTTGAATGACAATTTAATCAAAGATCTCATAAATGGACAGATTCGAACAATTACAGAGACGCCATCAGACTTTGTTTGACCATTAGGTACCTCTGAATCACACATGATAATGGATATGTTCCACTTCTCGTTTTTCTTTACTTTTCTTGTTTTGTTTTACTAATGATTTTTGATTGGATCAGTATCTTCTCCATCTTTTTATTATCTAAACAGCAACATATTTGCACAACAGTTTTCAAAATGTTTCTTAATCACAGCCCATTTAGTGTTTGCACCACTGCCCACCAAATTCTAAACAGGACCGTACATAGCTTCATTGTCCCCGTGCATTTTCATCTTCCGTGACATCCGTTTTATATGTATCAACTATATTTGATTACCTACAAAAGGCTGATACCTTTGTGATAAATGTCCACGAATGTATATGCCATCCACTTGCTCTTAAAGTAGCACTCTGGGTAAAAGGCTAATAGATTTTCCCGCCGAAAGCTTTCGCCTGCTTTGAGAATGTTGTGTTTTTACTTTTGCTTCTTGATTGACCCGTTTCTGGTTTAGAACATCATGTGGATCACCTGATCACGTTAAATTATTTCAAAGGTGGATTGCAACTTGTTACTTACAATGGTCATTTCTTGACAAGTCACTATTAAATGCTGTAGTTGTGCATTATTGATGGTCAATCTGATTGCCCCCACTTTCTCCTTTTACAAGAGTGTAATTCTACTCATGGGCTTGATCTATATTTACCATATTCAAATTTTGTTTGCAACACTTACACAGCATAGTAAAATGGCATTATATAGCGCACGGGTACTGAAAGCCATAATTTGGATGGACAAATGCAAATAACCAATAAATAAGCAGTATAATGAAATCTTTCTACACCTAGAAGGAACATTCTCTTAATAACCTTACATCAAAATGTCTAGTTCAATTTTTAATGTTACAGATCAGTTATGGTTAAGTGTACTGCCAATTTCCCTTGTATAACGCCATTCTATGAATGTTACATAGTTCTCACCAGGGTCTCGTTCCTCAGTAAAAATTATGCCAGGATCTCTGCATAATAATTAGAAGTACACCAACTGTAATCTCATGAAAATATCTTATCCAGTATGCATGAGAGTCTTTAAAAAAAATCTGCAATTCATTAAGTATTATGTTTCCTTGATTGAACACTTGTTCAACCACTGTCTATTAACCAATCACGTAACGTTCTCAACGATGCGATTTTATGCTATTTCTATTTGAAGACCTAAACAAAACTATTCTTTGTTCTGCTAGAAATATGTTTGCCCAGTTCCACTGTTCCGATTTTGCAAAAGCAATAAACGATTGATCACAATTGATAATTGATACATGTCTCGAAAAAAATAAACACATTGCTTGATTGTAATTATGGAATGTCGAATGACTGTGATAGATTTGATCTATTCCTAAACCATTGGTGAATGCATACTGATATATAAAGGCGGATGACCATTTGTCTAGGCTCTACATGCTTGGAATGCTGTCAAGACTTATTTAATGTTTTCAGTATTTCAAACCATCTGTGTGATCATTTTGTTAATTTTGTATACCATGTGAGGATATATTTGCACAATTGACTTAATATACCAGGTTGGCAAAGATGTATATCTTGTTAGACAATTGACATAGTGCATGTCCGTTTATTATTAGATGCAGGTATGATACGCATGGATATAATTGGTTAGTTCTAAGGATACATACTATAAAATATAATAAGTTATAGCAATACTTATACTATTCGATTGCCTATTATGTATAAATAAAGGTACAAGCCCTAGGTGTCCGTTGTTCCGATGTATATCATATGTTCATTTATGTATATAAAATAAACATGTAAATAACAACCCATTGGCAGCCGAGAGTTTTCGTCGATATGTTGATGTCAGTCACACATAACATATTTCAAGGAGGGTTTCGATTCCCAGAGAAGGCATATAAAAATAACAAAAATTTAAGGTAAGTTTTTAAATTAATTCCATTAGTGAACAGAAATCAGTAAATTAGCCAATTCAAACTAAATGAAATTAGGCACACAAAGGAAGCAATGGAATATAATTTGGTGAGTCCATTTCAGCAACAGATTTAGGAAGCGTTGATTCTAGAAAAAGAATCCACGGTAAATGAATAGGCTGACGTCACGACAATGGTTTACATGAATAATAATATCTAATTGTTATCTGTTGGGTAAAAGTCTGCTTTGGGAAATCTTGCAAATGTTCATAGTTCTTCACAGTGAAGATAATCTCAGATTGAGGTGTTCAGTTTATAAAATAAAGAATTTCAAAAATCATGCCAACATCTCTCACAGGGGATATCCCCGATAAATTGGGATAGTTGACAGTTCTGCAGTGGATAATATTTCACTTAATACAACAGTTAATGTATTACAATGTTCACAATAGACAGAAAAACAAGACAAAATCAATTTTCCGTTATCATTTTATTAATGATAAATAAGTATGTCACATTCAATAATGATATAAAAGCAGTTCTTTTCCTTTTTTTTAAATACCTTGATTATAAAAAAAGTATTTGACAACAAGATTATTATTTGAATTCAACATCTAAACAGGAGTTATCCCCCTTATTGCATTCATATGTACTTTTAAAGTCTTATTTGTATTCATTCCATTTAGTAAAAAAGTAAAAATGTTCCCAGATAAGCTTGTTACATTTACTATCATCACTATAAAGTTGACCTTGCCCATATGTGTCAAGGATTTGAAAACTTCCTAGTCTTGAGGGTGGCAATTATCTTTAACGTAAGTTTCAAACGCCCTCTTTCCAATATAAATTTTAATTCAAATGAGCCGAAAAGTCATTGTCATTCTTCATAATAAGAACAAACAATTTTTATTTCTACAAAACTTTTGGTGCAACTGTGACTCTTCCTGTCATTCTGTGTCATGGACTCCCTCCACTCTTCATACTTAAAATATATATGTATATTTTCTGAACACATTATCCATTTATTTAAAATTAATGAGGTTCAGGGAATAACTAATCTAATATCTAAATTATTTATTATAGTGACATGTTTTATTTTTAACAAATAGTGCATAAAACAATGCAGATAAAAAAACAACAAAAATACCTGGCAATTTGAGCCTACAAGTCACTTTAAACACTAATGTTAATAGTACAAGTAACAAAATTAATCAACTTAGAAAATGTCCATACAAAAAGAGTTTTCTCTTTAAATACTTACTGCTCACAGTATTTTGCCAGTTTTTTCCAAATGCTGACATGTATAGGAAATATTAGATCTCTTCATCTTTTGATAATTAATAGACCATAGAAAATATTCATTTGCATAAACACATTTAAATTAAATGGTTATATTATGATCAGGAACAAACAATCAAACAGACAATTGTATAGACGTTATAAGATAGCGACAGTGGCTTATAAAAGAAAGAAAATATAAAATGACTAAACATATTAGTATTATATCATTAAATAATCATTAATATACATGTATAAAAATATCAACATACTTATATTTATACATATATTCTTAATAAAAATACTCTTTAATGTTGTTTGCAGTGATCTTTATAATTACTGGCAAACTTCTTCTCAACATTGTAGACATATGCTTCGGTTATATTGCTGATTACACAGGCCTTATTTTCTCAAAAAATAAGAAAAAATAAAAATGTTCTTATCTTATTCAATATAATTATCTGCTCTTGATTTTAAAAGGAATTTTTCTGAAAATTTAAAAACACTTAACAAAACTTTATTTTTTTCATAGTTAAATCCTTAAATTTCAAGTTTTAGTGATTTCTGTTGTATATTGAGTAATGCTTGGTAAAATATTTTTAAACCAAAAAAGGATTTTAGCAGCTGCACAGAATTGCACAAAACTGGTTGGTAATGTTTTCCCTTTAAGAGGTATATCTTAATTGTTGTATATTGAATGATACATTTTTTTTAAATATTTTTAAACCAAAAAAAGGTTTTTCAACTTGTCCAGAAGGGATGCTCACAAAAAGACACCTGATCTACCTTAAAGACATCTGTCTCTTTTGTTTTCAATTTAAATAATTGCTTTTGAAATAATTGATGCCAAGAAAGATTTAGGGACATTTGGGTTTCAGGGATATGCGTGACTTTTGTGTCAGAAACAGAGTCTTGAAAATTATCAACAGTGCTTTGTGTACACAACGAGTCAATTGATCTAGTTTCAAAATGCTCAGCTTTAATGTTATTTTTTCCTTTCTCTAATTCGAATAATTTTTTTTAATTTATTTATACAAATGATGTTATTAATTGTTTTGCCAATACAACTGGAGTTGTTGATTTTGACCTCCAAATTTACATAAAAGGTTTGGGCATGAATTGATGGATTTCTAGCAGCTGCACAGAATTGCACAAAACTGGTCAATTGTAATATTTTCCCTTTAAAAGGTATATCTTAATTGTCGTACATTGAATGATACTTGGTAAAATACTTTAAAATCAAAACAGAGTTTTGCAACTTGCCCAGAAGGGATTCCGATAAAAAGACACCCAATCCACATTAAAGACATCTGTCTCACTTATTTTGAAATTAAACAACTGCTATTGAAATAAGTATTGCCCAGAAAGATTTGTGTTTCAGGGATATGTGTGACTTGTGTGTCAGAAACAGAATCTTGAATGTTATCAACTCTGCTTTGTGTATAAAAATAGTCAATTGATCTATTTTTAAAATGTTCCGCTATTATGTTATATTTCCCCTTCTCCGATTCGAATACAAATTTTTTTTTTATTTACGATGATGTTATCAATTGGTGTTGTTGATTTTGACCTCCAAATTTACATAAAAGTTTTTGGTATGAATCATTCGATCTCTAGCAGCTGCACAGAATTGCACAAAACTGGTTGGTAATGCTTTCCTTTTTAGGGTTATATCTTAATTGTTGTATATTGAATTATACTTTTTAAAATATTGTATAACCCAAAAAAGTATTTTGCAACTCCCCAGAAAGGATGCTCACATAAAGGCACTAGATCTACCTTTAGGATGTACTTAGGTGAGGTTAGGAATTTTTGTCAAATGTTCGGAGTCCTTGGTTTTTTTCCAGTGATACAGGGTAAAATATTTTGCCCCATAACACCCAGTTTTCTTTTCATATACGACTTCAATAGCTCATGAAAGGTCATTTACCAAAATTTAAGCAAATTCTAGATTTCTTTTCTTTTGTTTGAGACCCAAATAATACCAATGTAAATATAGGTAAAAGTCCGAGTCAGTCTTTTCCCGCCATTTCAGAGAAAATTAAATATCTCGAAAAGGAGCTCCATAACCTATCAATATTTTTAGCTTATTTTGTTCCTTTACTAGAACTCTTCTGACTTATAGTACCAATATTAGATTCTAGATTTTTTTAATTTCACCTAAGTACATCCTTAAAGAGATGTGTCTGACTGATTTTGAAATTAAACAATTGCTATTGAAATAATTATTGCCCAGATGGATTTACAGAAATTTGGGTTTCAGGGATATTGTATGTCACAAACAGAGTCTTGAATGTTATCAACAGTGCTTTGTGTACACAAAAAGTCAATTGATCTATTTTCAAAATGTTCAGCTATAACTGTATAATGTTAACTTTTCATTTCTCCAATTAGAATAAAATTCATTTTTTTTATTTTACAAATGATGTTATCAATTGTTTTACCAGTACAATTGTTGTTGTTGATTTTGACCTCCAAATTTACAGAAAAGTTTTTGGTATGAATCAATGGATCTCTAGCAGCTGCACAGAATTGCACAAAATTGGTTGTAATGCTTTCCTTTTGAGAGGTATACCTGAAATGAAATAAAATTCAGCTATTAAGTAATTTTGACACAAAATATATATTCTTATATATGATTTCATTTATTACTTGTTTTATTTTGTTGGATATTATTTTTGTTGTTGTATTTGTTGGTAATGATTTCATCTATGAAGACTAGGGGCTCTACAGAGCATGTGTGGCTTATCTGGATGTGCACTTTCAACAATAGTCACTATCTAACAGTATATATCAAAGAAAAATAATTCATGACTGAAATTCTCTTTTTTACTGATCTTTTTTGTTGTTTACAGTTTCTCTATACTATAATTTTCCTACAGCAAAATATGGATATTAAAATTAGTAGATGACAATTTTAGCTATGAGACTTATTTGTAGATCTTGTTTTGTTGATCATTTGTACGGTACGGTTTCCTTTAGCTACTTTAGGTTTTGCCCAAATGCCAAAAAAGGGGTAACAAATCATTTGAGAGCAAATGAACTCCTCTAAGGATTTGAGAGATGATTTCTGCTATGCTGACTTTTAATCAGATCAAGTCTTGCTTCTCATTTTAGCTATTTGAAGATATCTATATTTATTATAGTTTTCAAGGTGTAATTTAATGGCAATTACTCCTAAAAAAAGTCTATTGACATTTTTTATTATGTTAACTTATTTATAGATGTAGTCTTGCTCATTATTTTTGCCATGTAACATACACTTTATCTCTGATCATCTATTATAATTTTCAAAAAGGTAGTAGTCAAAATTGAAAAAAAAACAGGTCATTTAAGGCAATAATTCCTAACAGTTGTCAACTGATGATTTCTGCTATATGTCTCTTTATTCGTAGATCTTGTTTTGCTTATCACTTTTGCTATTGAAAGTTTCTCTCTATCTATTACAGTTTTGGTCTTACTAAAAATAATAGGTGATTCTCAAAAGTTGGAACATTTCTCTCCCCATCAAATATAATTATCTATATATCGATTTAAAAGATAATACTTGCATTTTACTCATTTGTTCGGTTTTTAAGCCTTGCATGGTAGCCATGTTTGGCTGTCAGGCTACATGGCCAAATACTGTGAGATCTGGTATTTAGTAGTTGTAATTAGCTTTGCACTAGTTTTAAGTAACTTTGAGTACTCTTATAGCAGTGATTTTATCAATTGTGTTTATGTTAGATGTTTTTGTGCCTTGTACCAATTGTTTGAGTTAAGCCAATTGAAACTGATGTTTATAGTTTGTTCTTATGTTGTGCTGTTACACCATTATCCCAGGCGAGGAAGAGAGTTAGTTACTCACAGCAAGTTTAGCCACCAGTCAGTAGCCTGCAGTTTGGTGGTTATCTTTGATTTAGGTCTGTTATAATTGTTTTTCGTAAATGATTTTGTTATAAATTAGGACACAAGTTTTCTTGTTTGAATTGTTTCAAATTTTTCATGTTGGAGACCTTTTATAGCCAAATATATTGTTTGGATTTTTTCTCATTGTTGAAGGTTGTATGGTGGCCTATAGTTGCTTATATCCACTTAGTTTAAAGTCTGGTGGATAGTGAACATTTTAAAATCTTGTTAGTTTATGAAGCAATTTTTAAAAGACAAATTAAAGTCATTAAAATGCTGTGTTTGATGTGTTTATGATGGTTTAAACGGTTTATTCAAGGACTCCAACATTTGAATAATCCAACTCACGTTTATCCGACAAGTAGCATGGTGTTTATATAGCAATTAAAATTGTTTTTAGGGATGTATAGTGAGACCTGTATACACTGTACAATATAATGTTCACATTATACTTTCTAATAATTAATGTAAAATAATAAGTTAATTCAGAAAAATTCAAAAATAAATAGGATATAGTATAAAAAACATTCTAATACTGTTCAAACTCCAATTGTAATCTAAAATAAAAATGTAAATGTCAGCTGCAAAAAGACTTTTGTAAACCAATTTTGGAGAAATAATCAAAAAGAAAGTAAATTTTAATCTATTTCATAAGGTGGATCACCATAATTTTTTATTAGGGTTGATTATTTTCACTTTGCCAAATAAGGGTAGATAATTCAGATAATGTTTAAAAAGGGGTAGTTATGCATTTTCTATTTTGTTTGGTAGCAAGAAAACAAGTCCTGTTGCATCAATTGTTTTAAAGCACATTATGAGAGAGCTTAATCTTTTTACTTTTTTTTTGTTTTATCTTAAAATGATATCTTTTAGTTTTCATTCTATCACACTAAAATGGGTTTTCAATGTATATTCTATGCAACACATTTACCTTAAAAATAGCCCGGGCTATGACCCATAGTTTTCATATTTTTTAAAAAGTTTGATAATAAACTACATTTTGGCAAATCATTATGAATTTTTATTGATTTTAATTAAACTCCTCATCTACCACATAGACATAACTGAGTTCTAATGTCCCCCACATTGCACATATTTTATCTGTCCAAAGGCAATAACTAAAACATTTTAAACACTTTTTTACAATGCCATTTCCCATACCGTGAAAGGACCAAAATTCAATTTTCTATAGAATTTACATTTCTAAACATAATCCCTGAAACAAAATGATTTCCGCAGATTTTTGAACTTGCCCCCGACATTACTGATATAAACCTTCACTGATAACCCTTTTAAAATAATTGCTCTGATCTTCAAATTGTCCAAGACATTGTTGATATGAACCTATGGCATATGTGTTATGAAAATCCGGCACGAATTGTACACATGAGAGCTAAAATAATGCAATTTTCAATATAATTGATATTTCCAAGGAGCGTAACTCTTTGAAAAATAGTAGATCTGCACTGATTTTTAAACATGTCCAAGACATTGCTGATATGAACCTTTGAAGAAAATTTTTGTAAAAAGCAGGCAACAATTGTATATGCTAGAGTGCTTAAAATGCAATTTTCCAAAATAAGTGATGTTTCCATGGTGCATAACTTTTTAAAAATGTTTGATCTGCACAGATTGTCAAGTTTGTCCAAACTTTGCTGATATAAACATTTAATGTGTAAAGTAGTAGGTTCATGAAGTGTCCATATTGGCCCTAAAATTCAGATATAAAACTCAGTTTAATTTTTATTAAGTAATACACACAAAAAATTCATGACAAAACATGTAAGAATATTTGACAATTTCAAATTCAAAATTGACCTTACAAATGCATAAAAACAAGCATTTGGATGAAAACTTGTAAAATATCATATGTTTAAATCTGTCAACATTGTTAAAACAAATAGTAGGCAACAAAAGTGAATGGTTTATCTAAATTTGCACATTTAAGATCATAAATATATATTTTTAAAATACGTTACATTTGTGTATTACAAGGTTTGATTTTTAGGGCTAATTTAAGGCCTTTGTGGTCATACTTCTTTTATATCAATCTGGCAAGACTTTTACAAATGCTCAAAATGCAAATTTTAATATAAGTTATATTTCAAAGAGGCATATCTCTTGAAAAAAAGTTGGTTTGCATTGATTTTCAAAAGTTGTCCAAGACACTAATCATTGCTGAAATAAGCCTTTGATATAAATTTAATTAAAATGTTGCAAGAACTGTACATTTGAGAATGCTATCTACACGAAACACAGTATTTCTATGTCACCTACAACACATCTCTTTGGGGACAATCATCAGCATGAGTTTAAATCATTAAAAAACTTTAATACTTAATAATTTCATTACATGAATGGTTCATCAAAACCCGTAATTTTGATTGGCTGACAACAATCGCTGGCTCTCCAATATTATACAATTACTGTGTTTTGATGAGATAAATATGTGGTTTTAGTGAATATCAGTTTTTCAAAAGTCAATTAAATCACATATTTACCGTAATGACAATTATTTACCAAAACCAATTGTATATCAAACAACTTTAACATATTAATTATACATGAAAAAGCATCCGACGTTTTGCGTGGTAAATATACTTTGTTTCTGCAGATGAATATGCTTATCTATTCAAAATCAATTTCATATAGAAAAACCTACTAAAGTTTTTTTAATATGGAATAAGCTGCAAATGCTATCCGTGAAAATATCAAATTTTTTTAAAATAAAGCATAGAAAAACAAACAAAACCCTTGATATAACTCTACATTTCATGCTTGTAGCATTAAAATGTAATCATAAGTATTTAATGATTAACGTTTATGATTTTATGGGGGTTTAAAATGTTGATCATATGCACATTTCTAATATGAAGCACTTCTGCACTTCATACACAATGTGCTTCAGTCAAAGTTTTTATGACAGTTGGTATCCCTTCGTTTGATGTGTTTGAGCTTTGATTTTGCCATTTGATTAGGGACTTCTGTTTAAAATTTTCCACAGAGTATTTTTGTTATTTTACTTTTTACACCCCAAAAAAAAATTATTTAAAAAAAGCATTCAATCCTTTATATAAACCATTGTTGGAAAACAATTAAATAAAGACAGCTCATGGTTGTAATCCTTTGTTATTCAGTATTATATTATAATTCTTGAGTTTTTATTTCATAGTACTTACATTTTAAGGTTAACTTTTTTCTACACCATTTACCAATTCATGCTGTTTAACAATGTCTTGAAACAAACTGAAGTTTTCTTCTGTGTATTTTGATACACTTATTATCGTTGACAGTGAATCAGTTATGAACTGAAAAAATGATAAATAAATGTTAACACAATAAAGTCACATTCATTTAATATTATTATGTGATTTTTAGAAAAACTACAATGACATTTTTCTTGAGAACCTGTTACTTGATTAATATTGACTCATTATTAATTGTTTACTGAATAGTTTAAGAATACACTTGTTACCCAAAATTAAAGAGGTAGGGGGAATACTGTGTTTTACCCTTGTCTGACCCTCTGACCCACGCAGTTTCTGTAGCATTTTTCTTCTTAAACTTCTTATGGGGCTTCATTGATTTTATATTATTTTCCTGTTTACCAGTGTTTTTTTGTTAACAGCATGTAAATAATTGAAAAACAAAACAAATTTGGTTTTACATTTTGTCCAAATATTGCTATACAATTATATTACCTCATTTCCTATTAGCAGCAAAAGGCCTCAAGTTTTTTTCAGATATATATCCCCAGTCTCCTGTCTAATTTGCCAAGCTTGAAAAACTTTATCCTTTAATAGATTTAGAGAAAATCATCTACTTGGTATTTAATAGATAATTATACATTATATCTTCTTTGACTGTCATTGGCGTTAAAATACTTAATCCCTGGGATGTGTTTTCATTGATTTTAGTCTCTGATGCATGATTTTTTATTACTGGTTTTGGCTTTTAACTAGCTTCCAGAAACTGCGAGTACATTGATATAGTACTTTCATGTTAGTTTGGCCTGTTGACACAATTTGTAATGCATTTCTGTAATTCAATGTATATATATATTTTGTGTTATATCTCGTCTGACTATTTTTAATATGTACCATAAGTATTTAGTAATACGATAAATCTTCACTTTTTGATCGTACTGTGAACAACAAATTTATTAATTTTGTAAAAATGTTTACCTCTGTACTCCTAACAACAAAATTATTATATTTTAACTTAACTGTGTACTTTGTTTTATTTAATGTCATTTTGTCCCAGGTTAGAGTTGTCTTTTTGACACTGTTCCTACATCTTTTTTATTTATATTGTATTTCTATTTTGTCATAGATCAAACTTATTCGTTCAGTGTATGTTTTTAATTGTTTTTGTTTAAATGTCTTTTTGATCGAGTTAAGCCATTTCAGTTGATATTCAATTGTGTGTTTTTTATGTTGTAATGTTACACTACTGTCTCAGCATAGGGTGAAGGTTGGCGCCTGTTAAAATGTTTAAACCCGCTGCATTTTTATGCACCTGTCCTTAGTCAGGAGCCTGTTGTTCAGAGGTTGTCGTTTGTTGGTGTGGTTCATAAGTGTTTCTCGTTTTTTTTATATAGATTAGACCGTTGGTTTTCCTGTTTGAACTGTTTTACACTAGACATTTTGGGGACCTTCATATCTTGCTGTTCGGTGTAAACCATGGCTTTGTGTTGAAGGCCGTATTTTGACCTATATATGTTAACTTTTTATACATTGTTACTTGGATGGAGAGTTGGCTCATTGACACTCATACCACATCTTCTTATTCATATTGAAAAATATAGTTCATTGAAGGAGCTATTGAAACAGACAGAATATCAGTGGCATTTCTGTTCTAAGATTTGTACAAAATAATTCAAATACAATTTTGCTTATTACGGAAAAGCTCACTATTCTGCAGTAGTTTGGTAGTAATTACTCTATTTATGTGTCAATTGGTCAGCACTTTCAATGTTGTATAAATGGCCTGATCAACTTATCTTATACAAGAGGCTGTCAGATTGACAGCAAACCGGATTATTCAGCAGAGGGTGAGCCCTGAACAGTCGAGCAAGTATGGACACATTATTTAAGCTTAAAACAGCTCTGAATTTTGATTTTGATTGAATATTTGACACAGCATAAGATTGTGACACAAAATGAATGTGGTCAAAGAACTGAAAAAATGTTATCTGACATATACCTATGATGGTCCAATATCCAAAATTTAAGTAAATTGTTAGAATCAGCATATTAAAGAACCCCAAGAATTCAATTTTTGATGAAATCAAACAAAAGTTTCAATCAGGACCCTTTGGACCTCAATGTGGACCAATTTGATAAAGGAGCCCAAAATCAAAAATCTCTAAATCCATACCTAGATTCAGCATTTAAAAGAACACCATAAATTCAATTTTTGTTGAAATCAAACACAGTTTAATTTTGAACCCCTATTTGGACCAACTTGAAAACTTGGCCCAAAATGAAAAATAAATCTGTCACTCGAATTATAATTTTTTTAGTTGATAATTACCACATGTTTGCTATCTTGATAAAAGATGGAAATTATTGCATGAAAAAATTAATAGTAAATACATTGTCCTAATCCAAATACATATACAAATGTGCATATTTAATTAATTACAAAAATCTATTTTACAAATTGTTTGTAGTTTTATAGGAAGAATAAAAATAGATTATTATCTAATGAAAATGATGTTTGCAAATCTGGACCCCCAAACAGGATCAAGTAAAAATTAAACATTTACACATACAACAAAAAGAAAATACCACATAACAACTATGACATCTACCTTCAAAACGCACAACTTTAAAAAAAATAGTTCTAAACAAATTTTTGACAACTCCTGACTAAAATCAATTGAACAGATACAATCATTGATAGACTTATAATTTACACCATTTCTGTTCAAAAGGAAACTACTCAAAATAAAACAAGAGACTAAATGACATATAAATTAATTATTAATTACACAATTTCCTTTGAAAGGGAAATAACTCAAAATCATAAAATAAGAATCACTTTTGCTACTGAAAGGTCTACAACTCAAAAACGAGAACAGCTAAAATCGTGAAAATTGAACTTGACCTTCATTTAGTCTCAGGAAACAACATATCTAAATTTAAAAAGATTTCGTCAAAGCGTTTTCATGCTAATGAACGGACACTGTTTTGCAGCCGCCCGCCCACCCGCCCAACGTACATCCCCAAATCAATAACCGATTTTTCTTTCGAAAATCCGGTTAAAAATGTTATGCAGTGTTTTTATCAAAATATCTTTAAAAGAATGAACACCTGAAATTTATCTCCTGCTTTCCATATAAATCAGGATTGAATCAGTTTTGAAATTTCTTTAATATGGAGGTTTTTAACTCCAAGTATCATAACTTAACATTATCAATGAATCATGTTAATGGAGTCAAGGTAAGATAAACCCTGCCAGATGACATGTACACCGTTTTATGATACAACAAAACAAATATGTTAAAGTACCTGAAAAACAGACCTAATTACAAAAACTTAATGTTTATCAATAAACCATAAACTAGAGGCTTTCAAGAGACTGTGTTGCTCACCTTTATCTACTGTGGTTTTGGAAATCATGTTTAATAAGGTTAAAATCATAATAGATAGTACATGTAGTATTAGATTCCCTCATACTGATTGAGGCCAAGTTTGGTTTAATTTGGCCCAGTAGTTAATTTAAAAGCAGAAGATTTTTGAAAAAAGTTTACAAACATTACAAAAAAACAATTGCAGAAAATGACTTTAAAGGACAATATATCCAATAATATGTCAATTGAAGATTTTGGACATGTTGACTTTTTTGTAGATCTTACTTTGCTGAACAGTATTGCTGTTTACAGTTTATCTCTATCTAAAATAATATTCAAAATAACCAAAAACTGCAAAATTTACCAATTCAGGGCAGCAACCCAACAACGGGTTGTCTGATTTGTCTGGAAATTTAATGGGCAGATAGATCTAAACCTGATGAATATTTGTACCCCCAAGTCAGATTTGCTCTTAAAGCTTTAGTTTCAAACGTAAAAGACAAACACTGTATTTAACCCCTATGTTCTATTCTTAGCCATGTCGGCCATGTTGGTTGGAAGGCGAGGATGAGTGTGGCCAAGTTTGGTAAAGTTTGTCTCCGTAGTTTCAGAGGAGAAGATTTTTGTAAAAGATTACAAAAAATTATGAAAAATTGTAAAACATTGACTTTAAAGAGCAATAACTCCTTAAGGGGCAATTGACAATTTTGGTCATGTTGACTTATTTGTAGATGTTATCTCTATCTATAATAATATTCAAGACAATAACAAAAAACTGCAAAATTTCCTTAAAATTACCAATTTAGGGGCAGCAACCAAACAACGAGTTGTCTGATCCGTCTGACAATTTCAGTGCAGATAGATCATAACCTTATGAACATTTTGACCCCGTGCCAGATTTGCTCTAAATACCTAAGTTTCAGAGATAAAAGCCAAAACCTGCATTTTACCCCTATGTTCTATTTTTAGCCATGTCTCCCATGTTGGTTAGCAGGAAGGGTCATCGGACACATTTTTTAAACTAGATATTCGTATGATGATTGTGTTCAAGTTTGGTAAAATTTGTCTTAGTAGTTTCAGAGGAGAAGTCTCGAAATCTGTGTCTTATCTGTGCAAGCAAGACAAAAAGAACTGTTCCATTTCCTTAGCAAATGGGCTGAGAGTAATGACTTGCAGACGTTTGGACCCTGCTTCAGCAAGGTTGATTCTACTCAGTTCAAGTGTAGCTATTTCCTGACATAGGTTAGTCATCACTGTGGTGCATGATCGATTGTCGAAATTTCCAACAAATCTTGCTTCCTCTGGTGTTAGGCCAACATGTACTCTGGTGTGCAGTTTCCTGCAATAGAAAGTCAAGGCATCCATCAACATGCAAGTTATTGCAATTTAGGGAATAATACCTTTCCAAATAATCAAACGGTACGTCGTGTTATCAGGCTATTCAAATTTTTTCAAGGTTAGTTATATTTATCTTTATAGTTTGGGGAAAATTTGAGGATCAATATATATATAGAAGACAATATGTTTTTTTTAGCTTTGGAGGTAATTGAGTATCTATGAAAACAGTTTATTCTGCTTTGATATTGTCGTATCATATCTTTATTTGAATTGATTTTCACATATATTTTATATACATGAAGTGGGATTACAGAAGGAAACTAGAGATGATAGTTGGTTACCTCATATATGACATAAATGGGACTATAGTAGGATACTTTCAATTATGGTCAATTTGAACATAGATTACATCAAAGTTGAACTATAGAAAGATTCTATGCAGCAGGGTTCATTTCCACATATTTTTGCAAACATTTGGACTGTAGGAGGTTAGTATTGATTATAGATGATTATTACTTATATCATATACAGTACATGTAGTGAGAATGAAACTATGGATGATACTGGATACCTCGACTATTTCATAGTAGGACTACTTTCGGATACTATGAATCTTGGTATGTTTCAACATGTATAAGATACAATGGAACAATAGGAGGATACTAAAGGTCATGATTTTTTCCTCATATATTCCATTAAGTAATGAACTATTAAGGATACTATTGATAATAGTTGGTTCACTCATTTATTTTAAAACTGGGACTATAGATAGACACTATGTATCATGATTGGTTGACTCATAGATTTCATAAATAGGGACTATAGTAGGATGCTATCGATGATGGCTTCTTCCCTCATATATACATAAAGTAGGATTTAAGTAGGATACTCTGAATCAAGGTAGATTCTCACACATGTTTCACCTTAATGGGACTATAGAAAGTTTATTCTCATACATATAACACAAAGTAGAACAGCAATAGGATACTAAAAATCATTGTTTTTCCTCGAATATTCCAACAAGTAAAACTGTTAAAGATACAATTCATAATATTTAGTTCCATAGTTTATTTTATTTCATAAGCTGGGACTATAGATGGACACTATGTTATATGATTGGTTAACTCATATATATTTCATAAATAGAGACTATAGTAGGATGTTATGGATGATGGCTTATTCCTTCATATAATACATAAAGTAGGATTTAAGTAGAATACTTCGAATCAAGGTACATTCTCACATATATTTCACCAAAGTGGAACTATAGAAAGATACTATGGATCATGGTTTATTCTCATACATATAACACAAAGTAGAACAATAGTAGGATACTAAAGATCATTTTTGTCCCTCATATATTCCGTAAAGTAGAACTGATAAAGATACTATTGACAATGGTTGATTCCATAGTTTATTTTATTTCATAAACTGGGACTATAGATGGACACTATGTATCATGATTGGTTAACTCATATATTTCTTAAATAGAAACTATAGTAGGATGCTATGGATGAAGGTTTATTCCTTCATATAATACATAAAGTAGGATCTTCGAATTAAGGTAGATTCTCACATTTATCTTACCTCCTATAAATTTCCAGGAATATGATTGGTTAAAATCAACCGCGTGGAGTTCGTGTATATTTCATATTAGGTTAGTAGGCGGGGCTTAATCCAATACACGGTTAGTAGTCGTGTTACGTCCCTTTATAAAAACAACACGGTGTTGAGGAAAAATCTGAAAGGTTTTAACAGATTGATGATAAACGATTGAAATAAATTCATAAAACACATTTAAAGGTAACAAGTTGTTATTGTTGGCATTTGTTTTTGTATAGACAAATGGAAGTAGGTTCTTAATACAAAGTATTGAAGACTTAATCACTTTGATAGACCACTATTCTTAAACACCACATGTTAAGATAGTTGGTAAGATAAATTTGTTACACAGTGTACTAGTGACCTAATACGATATATATGGGGTCAATAAATTCCATATGGAGAAATTTACTGACCGAATATATATCGTATTAGGTTACTAGCACACTATGTAACTAAAAATATTTCACCAAAGTGGGACTATAGAAAGATATTAAGGATCATGGTTCATTTTTACATATATTGATGTTAAGGATACTATTGATAATAGTTGGTTCCATCATATATTTTTATAAACTGGACTATAGAAGGATACTATGGATCATGGTTTATTAATTCATTAATTTCATAAGTTATTTAAATAGTAACTATAGTGAGAAGCTATAAAGAATGGTTTATACCTACATGTAATACATTAAGTAGTACTTAAGTAGGATACTTTGAATCATTGTTGTTTCTCACATATATTACACCAAAGTTAGACTTTAGAATACTATGTATCATGGTTTATTTCCACATATTGTTCCTAAATTGGGACTGTAGGAGGATAATATGGATACTAGTTGATTTTCACATATAGTTCATATACATGAAGTGGGAATACAGAAGTAAACTATAGATGATGGTTGGTTACCTCATATCTGACATAAATTGGGACTATAGTAGGATACTTTGAATAATGGTTGGTTTACTCATGTATTTCAAAAAAAAAGGACTATAGTAGGATGCTATGGATGATGGCTCATTCCTACATATAATACATTAAGTAGGACTTAAGTAGAATACTTTGAATCATGATAGGTTCTCACATATATTACAACAAAGTGAGACTGTAGAAAGATACTATAGGTCATGGTTCATTTCCACATATTTTTCATAAATTGGGACTGTAGAAGGAAAGTATGGATACTAGTTGATTCCCACATATATTTCATATAGTGGGAATATAGAAGGAAACTATGGAGGATATTTGGTTACCTCAAATATATAATTAAGTAGGACTGCCTTTAGAAACTGTGAATAATGGTTGGTTCCAACATGTATAAGATAGAATGGATTTATAGTAGGATACTATGGAATATGGTTTATTTTGGATCGTATTACATTTTCTAAGACATCAGTAAGATACTATGGATCATAGTTTATTCTCTTACATATATCACAAAGTAGAACATAGTAGGATACTCAAGATCATTATTTTTCCTCATATATTTCATCAAGTTTAACTGTTAATGGTCGTATTTATAATAGTTGGTTCCATCATTCATTTCATAAACTGGGACTTTGGAAGGATACTATGGATCATGGTTGGTTAACTCATATATTTCATAAATAGGGACTATAGTAGGATGCTATTGATGAGGATTTTTCC